AACACTTTTTTGTTGCTTGCAGTAAGAAAACGTGTCGCCCTCGGAAACAAATTTATCGCCGGTAATATCGCCACCGTATCGATTTCTTTTCACCAGTCGCTCTAAAACGTCCAAGAAGGCAACTCACCTGGACGAGTCGTTTTCTTTTCGCTTGAGGCGACATTTTAAATGATTTGATTCTTTTTAATGCTTCATTTATTTTTTGTATACAAAATTGTAAGTTAGAAACAGAATTTATTCATTATTTCACTGTGGGGCTTCCTTTTTTTTCAATTCTGTCTTTGGTGTAAATTAGACGTTTTTGGATAATACTCTTGAAGCGAAATTCATAAGTTTGGGAATTTTTGATAAATTATTAATCCGAAATTGACATAAAAGAAATGATGTTGCCGATTTGTCACCACGGCAATAAACCGGTGAGTCGCCGATTTGTCACCACGGCAATAAACCGGTGAGTTGCCGATTTGTTGCCATTGACGATTTTTGCCTATTTCTCATGTTTGGCATGGTGGGTACTGGTTATTTATTATTACCTTCCTTTTATTAGCTCTGGATGTAACTATGTAATATTGATGCGCCTAAAAGATGCAGCGATTTCTATTCTCAAGTTACATACCTGATGACAGTACGAATGGCAATTATAATAGGGAGGTTTTAGTTTTTTAAACTATAATTTTATTTTACTATGAATTTATGTATGCATATACCAGCAGACCCGCCGAACTTCGTCCCGCCCAACATTTTTTTTTTGTTATCTTTATCTTTATATGGGGCAAATTCCTATGAATTTTGTTTGCTGGGTTGGAGCTGCTTCGGCCGATGGAGTAAAAGGCGAAATGCTTATATTTTTCCCTTGTCCCTCCTACGCGTTTCGACACCCTCGTGTCATCTTCAGGGAGTCTGTTTTATTTAAACGATAAACAATAAACATGAAGAACGAACGAAAACCATTATTAACAAAAACAATAATAGTTGCATACATACATACATATATACACAACAATAGTTACATATGTACATGTATACTTAACACTAATTATCTACACACATAATAAGTCTGTTCCAATAGCAGTCCGGTTTACAGGATTTAGTCAGAACTTACAGGAAGTCGTTCCTATTGACATAAAACCTGTAAGTGGGAACACATTTGAGAGAGTAAATGAGCAACTGTTCCTAGTCAGAAGTTACAGGATTTAGTCCGGAGTTTTTTTTCCTGTAAGTTCATGAAAAGTGTCAAACGATCAGCTGATTTACATGTGCAAACAAAAACAGAAAGCGATGAAAGCAAAGAACCTTAT